AGGCATGTTATGTGGATTGGGACACTATTGGAGACTTCTACAGGGGAATTACAGTGTATCCTCTCTATCAGCCCATGCATACACCCTCATGAGAAGACTCTCTAATACTTGGAGAAGACAGTTCAGCCCTGGTTTGTAGGCACATGAACAAAGTATGTAACTCATCTCTAGCGCTCCACTCTGGATGTTTTCTTTAACAAAAGGGTGGAGGGAAATCCTTCTGTTGGAAATCTTGTAGGCTTTCAAGAAGTGTACCCAGTTTTGAATTTTTCCTGGAAGAATGATTGGGTGTAGCCTCGTGGTTCAGCCATGTGGAGCATGACAGAAGCCTTGGGTTCAATACCTATCACTGCAAAAATAAGCATTATTTTTTTTCTAGAAGAGAGAGAGCCTCCACCATGGTTCTGTAATAACCCATAGACAGTGCCTCAAGGTTTGTTTAGATGGTTTTATAGACTGAATGTTTGTGTCACCCTTTTGATTGATCTTTATTGAACTCTAAATTTTTCTCTGCTCCCCTCCCTGCCTCTCCCTTCCATTTTTAACCCTCTCCCAAGATCCCCATGCTTCCAATTTGCTCAAGAAGATCTTGTCTTTTTCTACTTCCCATGTAGATTAGATCCATGTAAGTTTCTCTTTGTGTCTGCATTGTTGTCTAAGTTCTCTGGGATTGTGGTTTGTAGGCCGGTTTCTTTGCTTTATGTTTAAAAACCACCTATGAGTGAGTGCATGTAATAATTGTCTTTCTGTGTCTGGGTTACCTCACTCAATATGATGTTTTCTAGCTCCATCCATTTGCCTGCAAATTTCAAGATGTCGTTATTTTTTTCTGCTGTGTAGTACTCCATTGTGTAAATGTACCACATTTTCCTTATCCATTCTTCGGTCGAGGGGCATTTAGGTTGTTTCCAGGTTCTGGCTATGACAAACAATGCTGCTATGAACATAGTTGAGCACATGTCCTTGTGGCACAATTGAGCATCCTTTGGATATATACCCAAAAGTGGTATTACTGGGTCTTGAGGAAGGTTGTTTCCTAATTTTCTGAGAAATCACCACACTGACCTCCAAAGGGGTTGTAACAGCTTACATTCCCACCAGCAATGCAGAAGTGTTCCCTTTCCCCCACAACCTCTCCAGCATAAGTTGTCATCAGTGTTTTTGGTCTTGACCATTCTTACAGGTGTAAGATGGAATCTCAGAGATGTTTTGATTTGTATTTCTCTGATGACTAAGGATGTGGAACATTTCCTTAAGTATCTTTCAGCCATTTAGATTCCTCTGTTGAGAGTTCTGTGTTTAGATCTGTACTCCATTTTTTTTATTGGATTATGTTTTTTTTTTTCTTTTTTTTTGAGACAGAGTTTCTCTGTAGCTTTGAAGCCTGTCCTGGAACTAGCCCAGGCTGGTCTTGAACTCACAGAGATCCACCTGCCTCTGCCACCTGAGTGCCAGGATTAAAGGCATGCACCACCATCACCCAGCAGGATTATGTGTTATTTTGGTGACCAATTTCTTGAGTTCTTTGTATTTTTGGAGATCAGATCTCTGTCTGATGTGGGATCAGCGAAGATATTTTCCCATTCTGTAGGCTGTCGTTTCGTTTTGTTGATTGTCCTTTGCTTTACAGAAGCTTTTCAGTTTCAGGAGGTCTCATTTATTAATTGTTTCTCTCATTGTCTGTGCTGCTGGGGTTATATTTAGGAAGTGGTCTCATGTGCCAATGCGTTCAAGTGTATTTCCCACTTTCTCTTTTATGAAGTTCAGTGTGGCTGGCTTTATGTTGAGGTCTTTGATCCATTTGGACTTGAGTTTTGTGCATGGTGATAGATATGGGTCTATTTCCATTCTTCTACATCCAGTTATGCCAGCACCATTTGCTAAATATGTTTTCTTTTTTCCATTTGATATTTTTTGCTTCTTTGTCAAAAATCAGGTGTTTGAAGATGTGTGGATTGATATCCAGGTCTTCTTTTTAGTTCCACTGGTCCTCCTGTGTCTTCTTATGCCAATACCAGGCTGTTTTCAGTACTGTAGCTCCACAGTAGAGTTTGAAGTTAGGGATTGTGATGCCTCCAGAAGTTCTTTTATTGTACCGGATTGTTTTGGCTATCGTGGGTTTTTTGCTTTTCCGTATGAAGCTGAGTACTGTTTTTTCGAGGTCTGTGAAGAATTTTGCTAGGTTTTATGGGCTTGTGTCACCTTAAGATGGACCTAGATTGAAAATTGGTGACAAGGATATATATGCATAGATCTTTCTTGATGACTTCTAGAGAGTCACCATGTTTAACCCCTATTGTTCAGGCTCTTTCCCAACCCATTCCACCCACCCATGCCTGATAGACATGTAAAGTGGCCATGGTATAAGGATGGAAGTCATGCAAGAATTTAGCAGTGTGGACTTCTGTTCATGAAGACTGTTCAGTCTGAGGTCACTCTTGAGTACCCTACATGGCAATCTCGGAAATGGCATCAATGCTCAGGAGCTGATGGTTGCATTGAACTCCATCCACCTCAGAAGAGACAAAGTTGTTTTCACTGGAAGAGATATGCTTTATCATTGCTTTAGATATGGATCTATCTTTCTTGACCTTGGTGCTTTTGCCAAGGCTACAATTTGTTGGGCTTATATCACATAGGCAGGTCAAGGTATTACCATAAATGACTTCTGACCAAGGGGCTTATTCAACAGCAATTTAAATGTGAAGTGAGCTCGTGCTCATGAAATTCACTGCAGTGGATGGCCTGATGGAATCCTGACGTGGATGGCCTGACAGAATGATGACAGAGCCTTTCACAGATTTATCTTCCATGTCACCTGGGGAGCCGTAAAACCATACCAGTTCCATTTTATGCTCTATTAGCTACGCACTATGGGAACTAGGCTGAAAATTTAAAAACACACACATACAGACAGAGGCAGACAGACAGACAGGGCCACAGGAACATCCTTGAGACAAGAATGCCCACTTTATTGTGCTCAGGGGCAGCTTATATAAGGCTCTGGCCACACCCCAGCTCTCAGGATCTTTCAGCAGCAGACTCATCAGAACCTACTCCCCAACCATCAGGGTCTTGTGCTCAGAGTGCTCAAGAAATTCGAGGTCTGGTAGTCTGCAGTCCCCAACAGGTAGCTTATACCTGTCAGAGTTGAGATAGAGTCTATCAGGATATGATGTATGCATTAAATCATTGGCTAATTTCTGTCAGTATTTTTCAAAGAGGTGGGAGCCCTGGATGCAGGTGAATCATAAAGATTGGAAGATTCCTTCTATCAACACCAGCAGTGGGCTGCCATGTGTGGAGGTTCAGCGTGACACGCCAGGTTCCCTCACAGTTCACACACATTTATTATGTATCTCATGGATAAGAAGCAGCATCCAAGTCCACAGCTCCTCCACCTGCTGCTGGATCTCCTTTTCTAGCTTCTCCACATCCCGATGTGGAGGTCCTTCTGTCTTTGTGTTGATTTCATTGGTTAATAAAGAAAATGCTTTGGCCTTTGATAGGGCAAAACTTAGTTAGATGGGGAAAATTAAACAGAATGCGGGGAGGAAGAAAACAATGAGAGAGATGCCATGGACCCACCGCCAGAGATAGATGTGCTGAGACTTTGCTGGTAGGCCATGACCTCCTGGTGATATACAGATTAATAGAAATGGATTAAACTAATATGTAAAAGTTATCCAATAAGAAGTTAGACCTAATGAGCCAAGCAGTGATTTAATTAATACAGTTTCTGTGTGGTTATTTTGGGGCTAAGCTAGCCAGGCGGCCAGGACAAACAAACAGGCCCTCCTTGCAACACGGATGCTGGCTCTGTGATGGACATTCAAGCTTGTGCAGCTCACCTGTGTTGTCATGGATGGAGGTTGTAAGGGCTTCAGGGGGTCCCTGTGAATTTCCCCTTTCCATTGTTCCATCTTCTTCATGTCCAGATTGTCTTAGCACTGGCCTGAGGGCCTGAGAGTGGCACCAGGCCCACAGCTGCTGAGGAGACTGTGGCATTTCAGGGAATTCTCCAGCAGCAATCACTCGAAATTCCCACACAGCCAGGGTGTTGGCAAAGTCTTAAGGCACAGCAGCTTTCTATTCAGGGAAGGACTCTACCCTCTTACTCACTTATTGGCCTAATTTCCTGCCTTTCAGAACCTTCAAATCCACTGTCATCTTGGCTCCAGTGTCTGTTTCCTTTATAAAAATGTCATGAATCAATCAAAACATGAACCACAACACCATCTTTATTTACTTCAGGTCATCATGAAAGCGGGCTGTTTCATAAAGATTCTGTGGGAAAAGCAGGCGTCTCGTTGAAGCACACACCTACAGCAGACGACTTACACTCCGAAGTTTGTTCTCCAATCTGTAGACTCTGTTCTCTCACCTTCCTCACAGCTCGAAAGTCCTGTCACTGAAAAGCAAGATGACTTGATTCTCTCATTTTCTGTGTGCTGGATAGTTTTTATCAATTCGACAGAAGCTAAAGTCGCCTCAGTAACAACTGAAGGCCCAGGATTGAACAGGTCATGTGAGAAGCTGAGGCTTGGCACCACAGAGAGAACCTATGAGAGGCTATCAGTGAAAGAGCAGCCCGGTTGCAGCAGAAGATCCCAGTGTTTGGAGATGCCAGTACCACGAGATGGCCACCAAGAACAGCAGCGGTGGTGGAGAGGAGCCTGCCCACCCTTGGAAGCTGTGTGTGCTGCAGAGAGTGGAGCTGGAGAGGTGACCAAGCCCTTCAGAGGAGCCCAATCATGAGTGGATCCCAGACACTGGAAGGTGAGTTATTTACATTTTTGGGGTTTGGTTTTTGTGTTGTTGAAATTGTGCCGATTCTCTGGTTCTTCTCTCTCTCTCTCTCTCTCTCTCTCTCTCTCTCTCTCTCTTTTTTTTTTTTTTTTTAAGGTTTAAACAGACTTTATTGTTACAAGGGGGACCCCACCAAGCAGCAGCAATATATGTGGTTCCAGTTATCACCATGGAAACATCGAGAGGTCATGATTGCAGAAGAGGTGACTGGAATTGAATGGCATGATCCCAGGGAAGGCCAGCCAGGAATGCAGGAAACATGATCAAGATGGGCTGGCAAGGGTGGTCTAGTCACAGGGGGAGGAAACTCCCTTCACTCCCGCTTCTTGTAGCTCTCCAGATGCGACAGGACCCAGCCCGCAGGCAGGAGGCAACAGACGAAGCAGGAAGTGAGCCCAACGGTGACTTCCACGACCCCGATCTGCTCCCGCGGCGGCTTCGAGTGGACCTGAGCGCGCGGCACCATGAGCCGCCGGGCCGAGCCGGTCAGGCCTCTCAGCAGCAGTGGCGTCAGGACAGACATGATGGCGCCCCGACCAAAGAAGAGGACCAGCCTGGTTCTTCTCTCTTGAAGTGAGAAAATATTTAACTTGGTTTTTATTTTGTATGAACCCACAGTTGAGAGACTAAAATTTTAAAGAGATTTTTAGATTTTCAGAGAGACTTGAATTTTAAAATGTTTGAATTTATAAAGACTGCGGGATTTTAAAGTTAGCAAAATCTTTTAAAGGTGTGACGTGGATGTTAATGTGTGATCTTTGAGATTGTAGCACAATGCCTGCTCTACATGCTACAGGCTATGGTATGGTTCACGAGTCAGGCAAGGGGCTGGAGATTGAAACACACACACACACACACACACACACACACACACACACACACAGAGGGGTAATGCCAAGAATTCCTCAAGAATGCCCCCTTGACTAATGGCCACACCCTAACTCTCAGCTGCAAGCCCACCAGAAACCACTCCCCTGCCATCAGGAACTCCTGAGGGTCTCGTCCTCAGAGCAGCTGCAAGCATAGGAAAATAAGTTGTTTACTCCAGCTGGTAGGGGGCTCACAGGAAATTCAGAGTCTGGGGGTCCACAGTCCCCAACAGAGATGAGCAAGAAAAGAATGGTTGTGGTCTAACCGTGATATACTTGTGTGTCAAGTTCACAAGGGGTCAATTGTCCTGGCCAGTCTTCTGTTAAGTTGACACAAGCTAGAGTCATCTGAGAGGATGGAGCCTCAGTTGAGAAAATGCCTCTATAAGATCTAGTTGGAAGGCATTTTTTGAATTAGTGATTAATGTGGGAGGGCCCAGCCCATTGTGGGTGGTGCCATCCCTGGGCTGGTGGTTCTGGATTCTACAAGAAAGCAGGCTGAACAAAGCCATGGGGAACAAGCCAGTAAGCAGCAACCTTACATGGTCTCTGCATCAGCTCCTGCCTCCAGGTTATCTGCCCTTTTTGAGTTCTTGTCATGACTTCCTTCAGCAAAGGCCATGGATAAGGAGCTAAGCCAAATAAACCCTCTCCTCTCTAACTTGCTTTTTGGTCGTGGTGTTTCATCACAATGATACAAATCCTAAGACCATGACAAAAGCAGCTTGGGGAGGAAAGGGTTTATTCCAGTTTACAGCTTATAGTCCATCATCCTGCAATCAGGACAGGAACCTGGAGGCTGAAATAGAGGCCACAGAGGAATGCTGACCGTTGGCTTGTTCCTCAAGGCTTTCTTCCTATACATCCCAGGACCGCCTTCCCAGGCACTGGACCCTCCCACATCAATCATCAATCAAGAAAATGCACCATATGGGCCCATGGGCCAATCTGGCGGGGATATTTTCTCAATTGACGTTTTTCTTCAAAATGATTCTAGCTTGTGTCAAGTGGATGTAAAACTAGCTGGCACAGCGTTCTAAGATCTCCACTTCTCTGGAGTCTTCCTCCTGTTCCAACCATGACGGTAATGATTGTTTTCTTCTGGAAATGCTTTTTGTGTTTTGAATACTGTTTTCAGGTGTTGAGGAAAAAACGGCATCAAGAGCCGACTCTGAGCCGCCAGCCGAGCTCATTCACTACCTGAACAATTCAGTCCTGCCCACTTGCCTGGTAGTGTGCAGAATTCAAATCTGTGTTCAATATGCTACACCATTGCATGCCATGGATCTTCGTGGCTGTTGGCAAATAGTTGAACCCGAGACTATTGAGCTGGGTTAATTTCTGGGCTCATTTAGAGTATACAACTAACTTCTGGCCTTTGGGTATCTTCAGCTCAGTCTTAACTTTCCCTTAGCGTACTCTAGACTTGGGGCTGTTCCTGGGGTGCCTATAGGTCGCTGTCCCATATGTCACTATTCTGAGTCATCTGTTACCGCTTCATCCTCCAGTGACAGCCTCGTACGGTTTCCCTGTCAAACAAAACCTCATCCCTGCGCTCCCTTCTCACTTCCATGGTTCTCGGACCCGCTGAATGTGCACACTGAAACTGTCTTCTTGGCAGCTCTTGGCCTTCCTTCCCTCCCTTCAGACATGGCTCTTTCCTGCCTCACTGGATGTTTCTTCTTAGGTTCCTTCCCTTGATTTTTCCTCTGGTGATCTTAAACCTTTAAAGTTTGGGGTTATGAGAACACGGCTCTTCATCTTTCTCTCTTTTCTGGCAGATGTTATGTTTGAAGTTTGAATGACTGTGCTTAAGAAATCTGTAAAAATGCCTCTAACCTGTAAGGCCCACCTGCCCAAGGATAGACAACCCCTGGAATGCTGGGGGCTGTTGTTCAAGCCGTGTGTTTTCACTTCCATAAACAATTGTGATTGCCTCAATTGCACAGGATACATGATGTGTGCTCGGCCCCTATAAAACACAGCCATTTTGGCTACACTGGTCTCTTGACCTCTTGGCCCAGACTGCTTCTCTTGGTCTGTGGCTCCTCTCTTGCTTTCCCTCCCCTTCTCTCCTTTCACAGTCTGGTTTATCTGAATACCAGGTTCAAACTGGACTCTTCCTCCTGCCTACTTTTTCTCTCTTTCTTCTTCTTTTTTTTTATATCTACAACACAAATCTTCTCCATGCTTTAGGAATAGTCATGTCCTCCTTATCTCATTTTCCCTTCAATCTCCATTTTTTAAAAGACATATTTAATTTTTATTTGTGTGTGTGTGTGTGTGTGTGTGTGTGTGTGTGTAGGTTTGTTGTCAAGTGCAGACTGCTGAGTTTAGGCTGCTGAGTTCAGGCTACTGAATGCAGGTTGGCAAATGGAGGAGGGCTCAGACATCTGTTTCAGATGTCTGAGGATGGAGTTTTCAAAGCTGGCCAAATGCTCTAGACATTGTAAAGCACCAAGAGCCTTTAAGAGAAGTCACACCATTTAGCCTCCTCTATTTTCACGTCCAGAAACACAAGAAAGTGCCCATATGTTACAACTGTTCTAGCTCACCACTAGGAAACAGATATTGGAGAGTGTAAGTAGTTGCACAACGTACCCTCTGCCCAACAGATAGCGATCTTCCTCCCCTTGCACAACATGGTGAGTCACACTGACAGTCACATAAAATGTGACACTGTAGGTCTGCTGTGAGGTAGGAGCCTTGGGAATAGGGACTGAGCAGTGGGTGGTGGACCCACCCTTGCGCAGTGTGGCCAGAACTGTGAGTGTCCTTTTGTCACAAGGCTCAGGAACCCTCAGTTACTCCAACCATGCTTCTCCGGTGCTTCTGTCCGACTTCCACATTCTCCAGGTTAACCCTGTCAAGTTCCATGATCAACAAGGTTGCCATGGGTATGCATAGACACCGGTATAGAAGTTAATACCCACATGCACATGAAACAAGGGCACAATGAAAACTGTGACAATTACCAATCTTGACAGAAGCCCACACTCTACAAGGAAACATCAGTGGGCCTCATCAGCATGGGGCTGCATATTGCAGACCACACATGAATTTTAAAATTGCAACATCTAAGCGTTATGGAAATGGCAATGACACCTTGAGAGCTGTGTGGTATTGTGTTGCTGCTTCCGAACGCGTGCTGCTTTTCAACAGCGTCTGGAAGTCCTGAAGACCTTGTGTCAGGAATTTCTCCTCTGGGTGTCTGAGATTCTGATCTCAAATTCTTCCCATGTCTTCCTAGTTCTAGTTATTTATGTTCAATTGTTCTCATGTAGGGAAATAAAAGGGGTGCAGGGAGGAAAGAGAAATCAAGGTCCTGTTTACATATTCTGTGCTGTTTGGAAAAACAATATTAAAGGACACTGTCATGTATCCCAGTGTGATCTTGACTCACAAAAGTCAAAGTGCAAAAACTTGATTTTATTGACGACTTACCATCTATCCACCAGAAAATTCCAATTTTCTGGTTTTGTGTGGTTCTGGAGGTCTGATGTGGGCCACTAGGATACCTGTCATTTTGTGTTCTGCTCAAGAGAGGCTGTTTTAGTCAGGGTTTCTATTGATGTGAAGAGACACCATGACCATGGCAACTCTTATCAAGGAAACATTTAACTGAAGGGCTCCCTTACAGTTCAGAGGTTCAGTCCATTGTCATCAGGGTGGGGAGCATGGCAGCAGCGTGCAGGCAGATGTGTCGCTGGAGAAGTAGCTGAGAGTCCTACATTTTGCGGGCAACAGGAAGTTGGCTAGATACTGGGCAGTATTAAGAGCACAGGGAACCTCAAAGTCTGCCTCCATAGTGACACACTTCCTCCAAGGCCACACCCACTCTAACAAAGCCACACCTCCTAATAGTGCCACTTCCTGTGAGATTATGGGGGCTAGTTACATTCAGACTACCACACAGTATCCGCTGAGCCAACCCCAAAACGAGTGAGTCCTTCTTGGAGCTTCTTTGGGTCTACTTTTAGCTAAAATCAAGTTCCCACATCAATGCTAATATCTACCTGTTGGTAGAAGGTGCTTATCCCTACCATCTGCTCCCAAATAACCAACATGGGGACTTAATATTAATTGTAAAGGCTCAGTTGAGAGCTCAGTCTTATTGCTAACTAGCTCTTACAATTTAATTTAACCAATTTATATTAATCTATGTATTGCCACATGGCTTGTGGCTTTACCTGTCCTCCAGCATTCTTGGTCCCTCTGTCTCTCCTGGTGATTCCTCCAACCCCACCCTTCTCCTCCCAGCATTCTGTTTGGCGGTCTCGCCTATACTTCCTATCTGACTCACAGCCAATCAGCTCTTTATTAACCAGCGAGAGTAATACCTATTCACAATAGATAGGAGGAGTATTCCACAGCATCTATCCTTCTATCTTTTGCTTGAAAACAAGAGAATAATATTGGGTTGGGGTTTTGAAAGGTGATTTTCTCATGAAGGTGGAGCCTGTTGTAGGGTATTCACTAGAGAAGATGCTCAGATGTGGGGTTAAACCAACAGAAAGTCTTTATTAGCTGGTCGGCCAGCCAGCATCTACACTGGGTGCTTAGGGGCCCAGTGTAGCCCTACACCTTTCTCAGGGAGAGCTTTTAAGAACAACAACAGCAACAACAACAAACAGTTAACAAGAACAGTTAGCCAAAAGTGTAACTACAGAAGCAAAAAATCAAGGCTAGTA